TGTCTCCTTAATTGTTCTTGGTGTTCTTTGTCACCAATCATGATATTCTTTGTGGAAAGTATTAATATACCATCTTCCTGTGTTCAATATTCCCATTAACAATAAAAAGTCTAATGAAAATATCTGCATGAAAAGCCCTGAGCACTAATTTCGGAGACAAATAGAAGATGAACCTATAAGTGTTTCTTCTGAGATGAATGATGCAAATTAATTGATATCTTAATTAGGCTTCAGCATGAAGATTATTAGTTAGATTGAATCGGAACTGAAGAGCATCTTTAAGGAAAAGCCGAGGACTCGGTGCTGGGGGAGAAAGATGTTATCTCTCAATGCTCTGTTAGAAATCTCTTTTGCTCAGTGAGAGAGTTTCAAAGAGGCAGCCAAGTTCCTGCCTGCCCTAGTTGGGCCAGGTTTGGGGACTGAGGTCTAGTCCTGTTCATGAGCTGATGGGAACTCACAGGTACAGGTAGTTCCACTCCAACCAAGCCCCTGGGGCCCTTGTGATACCACCGCCATGCTGTGTTCTCCTCCCTCTGTCTCACTAGAATAGAAACCCTCTGAGGGCAGAACCTGCCACTCTTTTGTTTGCATTTGTAACCCCAGTGCCAGCGAGGTACCTGCCTTAAAGAAACAATAGTATATATTATACAGCAAACAACTACATAGAGCTTGCTATGCATTCTGGGTATTGTTCTAAGCACTTTACTTAAAATAAGTTGGGTAAGCTTCATAACAATAGTGTGAGGTAGGGACTATTAGAATCTCCACTTTAAAAGGGAGTATATTGGGCCAGCCCGGTGGCGCACTGGAGAGTGCACTGCTTGGGAGCACAGTGGCGCTCCCGCCAAGGGTTCAGATCCCATGTGGAGACCGGTTCCCGCTCACTGGCTGAGCGCAGTGCGGGCGCGACACTGAGGGTTGCGATCCCGTTGCCGGTCCCCGGTACGGACGCGACACCGAGGGTTGCGATCCCATTACCGGTCAGTAAAAAAGACAAAAAGGAAAAAAAAAAAAAAGGGAGTATATTGAGACACAGAGAGGTTGAGTAACTAGCCCAAGATCACACAGCTAATAATGGTGGATCAGGGATTTGGGTCACAGCCGTCTGGCTCCAGAGTCCCTGCTCTTAACCACTGTGCTGTGTTGAATAGTGTTCAACACATACTTGTTAGGTTAAATGAACAAAAAGTTACCATGAATGCCTGGTCCTTACTTCTGAGCATCTCTCTAACTCCTAATTTTTATTAAAGTTGCCCACAGCTCTAGAGCTTCATCCTACTCTACTCTGGGCCCTGCCAGACTCTCTTCTGTGTGGGGTGGGGCGCCTACGGATGTTTCCCGTATCCCTAAGAACTGGCTGCCGTTCTGTTTCAACCTGGATAACCCATCAAAAAATTGTCCCTGTTGAGGGGCTCCCACGGCCATGAACTGGTCCACCATCCAATTAGACCTGGGCCCTACTGTCAGGGTCAGCCTAAGTTCCACCAAGTGTGCTTCGGTGGCCATCGTGAATCACAGGGCCATTCTCATGCTGTGTCTGCAGTGACTTTATGGCATGCTTGCTGTTGAGGCTGCTTGGGTAATGATGACATGTACTTTTATGGAGTTCAAAACACTTACCAGGTGTGTTTTATTGACCAAGATAGCATTCCCTGGGGAGGCTTCCCTGGATTCAACTACTCATAAAGGGTAGCCAGAAACAGAGCCCTGGGAGTGAGCCGGGAGTCATGGGGGAACCATAGGGGTTGTGTTTTCCATCTTACAGAGAGGACACGGCAGCTCCTTGCCACAGCGGAGCTGATGGGAGAGATGGAGTGTGAACCCAGCCTGCACGGACGGCAGGAGGTCCCCGGGGGCTGGATTGAAGACTCCCCCTACCCGCTAGCAGGGAGACTGCATCATTCCACCTCTCCAGGCTTTGCTTTCCTCTCTACAAAACGGGGGGCCTGCCTATTTATCAAAAAGTGACTGAAAGTTTCAAAAGTGCTTTTCACTTAAAAATTGCTTCACCAATGAGTGATGTTAAAAATGACCAAGGCATCCCGACACTGGACTCTGCAGTCCTCCCCAGGCAGCTGACTCCTGGAGGCTTGCCAACCGTGGGTGTCGTGTTCCCTCCAGCCCGACTGAAGTGCCCAGGAATGTGCATGTGAACACGCTCGCTGGTGGATTCGAGTGCACGCGACTGTTGGAGACCCACTTAGAAGCAGCTAACACCAACACAAAGGATGTGCTCCTGGGTTTGAGGAGAGCCCTCTCTTCCTCTGGCTGAGGACCAGAACCTAAGACCTAAGCAGATTTGGTTTTCACTGTCTCCATGGCTGACGGAATTTGGGGGCAGGTGGGCAGGACGATGTAGTCGCAGCTGAGGAGAGCAGCCGCTTCCTGCTGGATGCTCGGATGAGGGAAAGCGGGTAAAACCATGCCTGAAACCCAAGCCTCCTCCAGCCTGAGCAGGCAGGCCGAGGGCCGCACCCGGGCAGGTGGCCCTGGTAAGCTCCTCCGCTCAGCAGCCTTGCCTGACAGCTGCCACCTGCCACCTGCTGTGCTTCTAAGCTGGGCTGCCGAGGCTAACCCCATGTTTGTAGTACGGAACTCATGTGAGAGACCATCTCAAGTGAGTGTTGGGGTGAGGGGACAGGGTGGGGTGGGGGTCTTTCAGGCTTGGAAGAGCGGCAATCTCATGGTCCCAAGGCCCTCAACTCTAGAGTCATTCCATCCATGACTGCTTTTGCACTTGGTCTTGGAATGCCAAGGAGAACCCTCTTCCAGGAAGTCCTGTGTGGGGGTGGACTGTGAGTGTGTCCCTCAGAGGGACGCTCCTCTCTTGAGCGATCCACCCCCTCGTGGCTGCCGGGGAGGCCCAAGTCCAGAAGATGGCCATACTGTAACGGGGCAGATCCAGTATCTTCCACTTCTCTACTCTCTGCTCCTCTCCCTGTCCTGACGGCGCAAACCTCCCCCAGCTCTGCCCCTCTGCATGTTTATGATGTCACCAAAGCTCTTTGGTGGGTCAAGGAGCACTTGGCTGGGCAAGTGTGTAGGAGTGATGGAGGCCAGCTCAGGCCCTGCCCAAAAAGCTGCTGTTGGAGTCTCCCTTGAGGGAACTCCTTGTGGGGCTGTAGTCAGGACTGCCTCTAAGGAGGGCCGTCCACCTGGGCTTCCTGGGAAGGACCCGTGGTCCTGGGCTACAGACTGGTTGTCAGGGCCAGTCCCCACACCTGTGAGAGTCCCTGCCATTGTGGGGCTGTAGTCAGGACTGCCTCTAAGGAGGGCCGTCCACCTGGGCTTCCTGGGAAGGGCCCGTGGTCCTGGGCTACAGACTGGTTGTCAGGGCCAGTCCCCACACCTGTGAGAGTCCCTGCCTTGCTCAGGATAGCCGATAGCTAGTGCAGACCGACACCCCTTCCTCTGCCCACGGCTCTAGCAGCAAACATACAACCCCCTCCTATTTGCGGTATTGTTTATGTTTCCCAAAGTGCTCTCAATATGCTATCTCACTGGATCCTCACGACAACCATGTGAAGCCATTAGTATGGTCCCCACATTACAGATAAACAAGAAATGCCCAGGGGGGTTCCAAGTGGCTTGACAGAGGTCAGGGAGTTGGTACCAGCCGAGGTCCAAACCAGACCAAGACTCTGTCTTTCCAGTTCTAGATCTCACGGGGTTGACGCCTCTGCACACTCTTTGCAAAGGCCATCGCGAGTTTTCTAGGCACAGACTGGTGAATGCTTGAGGCCATCGTGGGCTTCCCCAAAGTGCATTGCCAGGTGCTTGTGATCAAATGATTCAATAATCAAACAAGATGGGGAAGTACATGTGTGTTATACAGTGCATACAAAAATCCTTCAGTGAGGAATGGGATCAATTCAGTTCAACCCAGAGTGTCTAAAACTTATTTGTCAACAGCGCCTTCCCCTGCTCCCCCATAATGCTCACTATCAACCCACCAAATTCGCATTCTTTAGACCTGCCTGGAAAGGGTGAGCCAGGCTCCTTACATAACTATTGTGATGGCAAAGGGACAAAGATGGGGGTGGCCACTGTTTCATGGAAATCACCATGCCTCTTTCCATGGCCCCCATGCCACCAGGAGGGGGAGCTCCAGCAGGACTCCTGTGGCCAGCCTGCCACCTACATCGCGAGTTTTCTAGGCACAGACTGGTGAATGCTTGAGGCCATCGTGGGCTTCCCCAAAGCGCATTGCCAGGTGCTTGTGACCAAATGATTCAATAATCAAACAAGATGGGGAAGTACATGTGTGTTATACAGTGCATATAAAAATCCTTCAGTGAGGAATGGGATCAATTCAGTTCAACCCAGAGTGTCTAAAACTTATTTGTCAACAGCGCCTTCCCCTGCTCCCCCATAATGCTCACTATCAACCCACCAAATTCGCATTCTTTAGACCTGCCTGGAAAGGGTGAGCCAGGCTCCTTACATAACTATTGTGACGGCAAAGGGACAAAGATAGGGGTGGCCACTGTTTCATGGAAATCACCATGCCTCTTTCCATGGCCCCCATGCCACCAGGAGGGGGAGCTCCAGCAGGACTCCTGTGGCCAGCCTGCCACCTACTGCATAGAATCACCCCAGAGCCCCAAGTCCAGTGCAGTGCCAGAGCCGATGGGTACAATTTCAGAATGGAAATGTCAGTCAATTGTTAAATCATTAGAAGCTTGAAATTGGCCATGGTGGGAATATTTGTACCCTGAAAATCAGCAAATGCTAGAAATCACGGCCCCGTCCCCCCCACCTCAAAGCCTTATCCTGAGAGCTGGTTTACCGGTGGACTGCTGCTTATCCTGGAACATTTTTTGAAATTGTTAGAAAACTTAGGAGGGGCTATGACAGCTGAGTGCTGGGGGCAACTGGCACAGAAGTTTTCACTCGTCCTAGTTTCCAGCCCTCCTGAATGAGAGCTGAGAACTGCACAGAACGATAATCTTCCAGCTACAATCCCAAAGGAGTCAGAAAATGCTTCTTGGCCGGCTTACCTTGATATCTGCTACCAGCCAGTGTCTCCAGAATCTTTCGTTGGGTTCTGACCTGCTAGGGGCATCTGGATCCACCATGACCAGCATGTAGGTTGAGTCCTGTAACACACACACCAAAAAGCAATGTAGCATCAAAGCCAGAATTTGGATAGGAAAATACCAAGGGGGAAGACTCTCCTTTTATCTCTATTCCAACAGAGGATGGCTGACCAGCCCCTATTGCTTCCTACTCAGTTCATCCTTGTTCTTGGGACATTCTTCTCATGTCACATGTTTATTCTCAGAGACAGACATGAAGTCTGTGCAGTAGATATTGGGATTCCTGGCTTTCCCTTTCTTAAAAAGAATAAATCCCTAGCACCATGCTAGTTGTTGTGGAGGAAACAGAGAAACCTAAAACAGGGCTTCTGTCCTCAAGCAGCTTTTGGTGTAGTCAGAATAACTTATCTATTGATTCAGCAAATAGATGAGTGTTTACTCTGTCAGGAACTATTCCGATCTCAAGGAACACTAGGATTCATTCATCCCTTCAACGAGCATTTACCGAACACCTGCTATGTGCCAGAAACTGTTCTGGGTGCTGGGAAGCCAACAGAGCACAAGAAAGTGAGATCCGTACTTTCGGGGAGCTTTTATTGCAGGCAAGAGACACAGATAACAAAAGTGAATACATCAGCAAGGAAATGTCAATTGTGATTAGTGCTGTGATGAGAATAAAATAGGGTGGGAAGAGAGGAGCAACAGCTCTGGGCACCCAGCATGGTGCCAGGGACTTCCAGGCGCTTAGGAAACGGATTCTACAAAAGCCCTCAGGTGGGAAAGAGTTAGGCTTTGAGGAACGGAAAGAATTCCACAGAAGGCTGGGGGAGCGGGAGTTTATTCTAAGTGCAACATAGAACCTTCGGAGGGCTTTCGGCACGACAGTGATAGGCTGTGGTTTACATTTTTCGAGGATTGTTTTGGCTACTGGGTGGAGAGTGAATGGTTGTCAGAAGGCAAGAGAGGAAGCCAGGAGGCTGGCTAGGAGACCACTGCAGTCGTGTAGTGAACGATGCTGCTATCTTGGACTAGAACTGTAGCAATGGAGATAGAAACAAATAGATGGACTGGCGCAGTGTTTTTACATAGAAGGAGGGGTGGGGGAAAAAAACTTGAGGATGATTCCTGGGTTTCTGGCTTCAGCAACTGGGCCATTTAATGGCACAGAAGACTTGGAGAGGAGGACGTTTGAGGAGGGATGTTGAGAGTTCTGTTTTAGATGCATTCAGTTTGAAATGTCTCCTAGAAGATAGTCAAGTGTGTGCGTCAGAGTCTGGAGTTCAGGGGAGAGATCGGGACTGGATGTGTACAATTGGGAAGTTATCGACATATGGATGATCTTTACACTCACAGAATAATGAGCTTTTTCGTGGAGAGAGTAGACACAGAGAAGAGAGGTCTCATGACTGAACTCTAGAACACACTAACGCTGAGAAAAGAGGAGAATCTGGGAAAGGAGGCTGTGAAGCCAGGGAGCTGGGGAACCCTGACGAGCAGGTGTCGTGACAGCCAAGGCAGAAAATGCCTCAAGAGGAGACAGTGGTCACCTGTGTTGGATTCTGCTGAAAGGTACAGCAAGGTGAGGACACAGATTGTGGCCATTTGATTTGACAACTTGGAGATTGCTTGACGAGACCAGTTTCAGTGGAGTTGGGGGGACTGATGTTTGATTAGAATAGCTTGAGATGAGATGGGAGATGGTGAATTGAAGATAGCTAATAAAGGAGGAAGTTTTGGGGTGAAGGACAGCTGAAAAATGGAGTGGCTGTTACTCCACTCCAGAGAGGAAGGAGGACTCAAGAGACAAAAAAAAAAAAAAAGAAAGAAAGAAAGAAAGAAAAAGATACGTATGTTATGCTCATAGGCCAGTGGAAATGATCTAGCAGAACGGTACAGATGGCAGAGAGGAGACAGAGGATTGTTGCGAGAGCCAAGACTCTGGGAAGGCAGGAGGGGACAGATCCAGAGCAAAAGTGGAGGGCTGGGTCTTTGGTAGGAGCAGAGGATACGGATTCAGATGCAAGAGAATCGGAAGATGGGGTTGTGAGGAATGCGGAAATTGTATTCTGATTGCTTCTATTTTTAAATGAATTAGAGGCAAGATCCTAAGGGGAAGAGGGACGGTAGGAAGTTTGGGGATAGAGAAGAAGGTGTGAAATAGTCATTTAAGAAAGTGAGAAAGTGAATGTACTCCAGGTATGCAGTAGGGTTACTAGGTAATATTACAATCCACAGTTGTGTGCTTTCAACCATTCAATTGTGGGCACGGAGTAAGTGGTCATTGGGGTTAACTAAGATGGGGACTTAGGCTAGTGAACATGATGAAAGAGAGATGAGTGGGAGAGTAGGACGTGAGGAAGATGAATGGACCCTCCTGACCCTCCTCTTGGTCTAGAGGGAGAGACAGACCGATGCTTAACCACTCTACGATGTTCTAAGTGCTTGAGTAGAGGTGCTGTGGGAATGGGGTGGAGGGAGCCTACATCTCTCTAGTTCAGGAGTCCAGGAAAGCTTCAGACTTGTCCTTTGAGCTTGATTTTGAAGGATGAGCAGGTAAAAGACCAGGAAAAGGATTCTATTGGCAAAGGAAATAGCTTGTGCAAAGGTGTGGGGGTGTTTGGGGAGTGGCTGGAACACAGGGCATCTGGAAGGAGTGGTAGGTGGCAAAGCTGAAAAGGTTGTTGGGACCAGATAATAGAAAGCCTTAGATGTCATAAATCATTTAGAATTTTCTATGCAACAGGACCCACTGATACGGTTTGAACAGATGACTGACATAATTGGATGTGTGCTTTGGGAAGGCACGTGATGAGGGTAGAGTATAAGATCAAAGGCAGAGCAAGAAATTCAAGTAACTGCAATACTCTAAAGAAAGATCACAGGGACTTCAATTCAAATAGTAGTAATAGAGATAGAGAGAAAGGAGAGACATTTCTACTGTAGAAGCAACCTCTACTCAAGCATAAGGTGACTGGATAGGGAAGATGCAGGAGAGTGGGAAGTCCAGGATGACTCTGAGGTTCCACCTTGGGCAGCTAGGGGGGTGGCAGAGCCATGAATGTTAGGAGTAGCACAGGTAGGAGATGGTGAGACAGTTTTGGAGTTGAAACATTCAGGCAGAGACATCCTTTAAATGAAGCTAGGAGGTTGGAGCGCTCTCAAGACTTGGCAAATGGGCAGTGGACACGAGGACAAATGAAATTATCCAGGGAGAACTTGCAGAGCAAGAACAGGAGAAAGACTATGGTGGAGCTCGGGAACACAGAGTGGGAGAGAGAGAGAGGCTGGAGAACGGAGCAAGGAGGAGAGCCAGGAGGACATGGTGTCATGGGTGACAGAGTTCACGGAAGGGATGGAGACGGTGTCAGTGTCACCTCTAGCAGGGGAGATGAGGACCACAAAGAGACCACTGGTTGTGACAATTGGGGATCACTGGCAACTTCTCCAAGATAACTAGTTAGAGCCCAAAATACGGACTGTGGAATTTTAAAATCTAAAAGAAGCAGTCAACCACATATTAGATGCCATAGAAAATTAAATCAGAGAATGTGAAGATAAATTCAGGAAAATCTCCAAGGACTCAAAGAAAAGGAAAAAGAGATAAAAATATGAGGCACAAAGAAGAGACATATCCTAAAGAGTGTGTGTGTGTGTGTGTGTGTGTGTAATCCAGTGGAATCCCAGAGAGAGAGAGAGAGTGTTTAATCCCAGTGGAATCCCAGAATGTGTGTGTGTGTGATCCCAATGGAATCCCAGGGAGTGTGTGTGTGTGTAAGTGTATGTGTAATCCCAATGGAATACCAGAAGGAGAAAACTGTGTATGTGATACATTCAAGAAATGGTTCCAGCTAAAGCAACAAGTAAATAAAAAGAAACAAAGTGTAAATACAGTAAAAGAAAAATAAAACCATCTATTCTCTCCCCTTTCCACTTTTTTTTGCAAATGACATGATTATCTACATGAGAAATCCAAAAAAGAATCAACTGATAATAACTAGACTAATAGTAAAGTAAGCTGTTACAAAATGTACATAAAACCAGTACTTTCCTGCGTACTAATGATAGTCATAAAGCATACTTTAAAAATCCCATTCGTAATTGTAACAAAAAATGTAAAATACCTAAGAATAAACTTGATGAAAAATGCAAGATTATACAAAGAAAACAGAAACATTACATATGTACGTTAGAAAATTTGAATAGATGGAGAGAGACATACTGTGCTTTTAAATTGAAATAATAATTTTGCAAAAATGGCAATAAACCTTTAATTAGTTGATCTAACACAATTCCAAGCAAAATCCTAAATAGGTGTTTTGGGAACTTCACACAGAATTTTTCTAAAGCTCTTAACGAATGCAAAAAATTAATAAGTAAAAGAAAAAAATTAGCCAAAGCAATATTGAAAAGATGAAATAGGGGATAGTATTGATTTTGCAGATTTAAAAATATATATTAATAATTATTATACAATAATTAGAAAAATGTGGTGTTGATTAAGGACTATATAAAAAAAGGAAGCAAAGTAGTAAATCTAGAGAGAAACTCAGGTTTTCAATATATGATAGTTATATTTATGTAGCTATCATATAAATATAGCATATATATTTATTTACAGTGTATTTAATATATGATAGTTATTTAATATATGATTTTTAATATATGACAAATTAATTTCAAATGAGCAGGGCAAGGATAGATTATTTTATAAACGCTATTGGGACAATTGGCTCACTACGTGGAATAAATAAACTTAGGTCTCTAAATTTCTTTCAGACACCAGAAAACTTCCATATTTATATATGAAAATGAAAATCTTTAAAAACTGGCTTAATAACATAATATTTAATTCATATAAGTTAGATCTTTATATACTCATATGGGAAGACATCTATAATATACTAGTACACTATAAGCACTTTACCGAATAGTGTGCATTTTATCATCTCAAATGTGCAGGAAAATTTTATATATCTAACTATATATATATTTATTGATATATGCATAGAAAATGTTTGGAAAAATACATACTAAACTAGCAGTTTAGTATGTATTTTGGC